TTTTTTTTTTTTTTTTTTTTTTTTTTTTTGTCTTTGAGGGACAGAAAATTCTAGTCATATTGGTAAACTTATTAGTAATCAATCAAGCAGGTGATGGTGGAGGAAAGTATAGACACTAAGAAATCAAGCAGGTTATGGTGGAGGAAAGTATAGACACTAAGAGAATATGGGGGAGCACCTAAACTTGACTGATGGGATGAGTCGTGGCATCCTGGAGAAGGTGATTGTGCTGGATGAGTAAGAGTTAGTCAATAGTGATGGGAAAATACCATATTTAGGGCATTGGGGAGGGCATGTGTGCATACCAGAAATGACATTATTTTTGTGAAGTTGGGACAAGAGTGGAAAATTGAGGCATCATCTTGGATAGGAGTACAGAAGTAGGTAGGGACCTCATATGGAACCATTGTATAGCACCCTTAAAGGACTGGACTTTATCCATATCAATAGGAAGACCTTGAAGATTTCATGAATAAGGGTAACATGACTGGATTTGAATGCTAAGAATATCACTTTGGAGGCTGAATGTAGGTTGGGTTTGAAGTGCTCAAGATTAGAGGCAGAGAAACCATATTTTGCTAACAAGTAATTTGTGCAAGAGAAGGTGAGTCCCCAAGTATGATAGTGATAATGTGGATGAAGGTGAAGAGAAGATTTGAGGGATGTTTGGGAGTTGAATTTACTAAATTTAGTGATTGGATTGAATGTAAATAGGAGATGAATAAAAAAGAAAAATATCTTGAAGATGATTGCTAGTCTTTTGTCTTGGATGACTGTTTCATCGAAGGAGTGGCTCCACAGGAGAAGCAGGTCACTGGGAAAATAATGGGGTACCCCCTACAGGACACTCGGGGGGGGGGCGAGAATTAGAGCTGTACAAATGGATTTGGAGATGAGCAGAGAGGTCTAAACTAAAGACATGCTCCTGGAACTCACTGGCATAAAGGTGGCAATTCAGTTCATTGGAGAGGGTGAAATCTTTTAGTGACAGTGTGAGGTCAGACAAGGATGTGCAGATGAAGCTCCAGCATTTTCAGGATGGGCAGATGAAGCTCCAGCATTTTCAGGATGGGCAGATGAAGCTCCAGCATTTGCAGGATGGGCAGATGAAGAGAAGTCTGTCAAAGGTAAAAAAGAAGGAAAACCCAAGTAGGTTGAAAGTGATCCAGGGCTGACTATATAGTCAAGTAAACAAAGGGAGGTGAGAACTCCCAAAAGGGATAAGGTGGGAAACAGCTCTAAGTTCTACAGAGAACCCTGCTCTCTTCTCATTCATCAGCAGGTAAGCTCAACTTTCATCCCTTCCTCAGGTTTTAGTTTTCTAACCGATAAAGACCTCTCCCCTTTCTCTGTTTCTCTTAGATTATACCATCCAGGTTAGTATCTGTCTTCAACTGTGTGAAAAATCTTTTCTCTAGTAGCTTATGTGCACTTTGAGGATAGCACTCAGATTGCTATTTCTTGTGTGAAACTTAAATTCTTGATAATTCATTACCATGCTCACTTTTTGAAAATGTCAGTGTTGTAGATGAAAAATAAAACATAGGTAAACATCAGAGTGGAAATAGTTTTAAACCCTAAAGTGATGTAATACTTATTTGGGGATTTGTGTTTATTGTCAAGTTTATTTAATAATATTGAGAGACAATTAGAATATGAGCTTTAAGTGTATTAAGGATTAAGGGTCATATAAAACAAACATACTAAACAAATGTTTTTTCCTCCTTTTTTGTTCTGTTAACTATTTGACACTGAAACTTAATCTGATTAATATGTTTCCCCATAACCCTGGTTAAGAAATGAGTAGAAATTTTTTTTTCTGGAACATTAAAATGGGATGTTTAGCAAACATTTTATGACTCACAGTTTGAAGAATGCAATTAATTCTGACTATAATTACTTTCATTATAATCCACAACAATCTGATTTGTGCAGTTAATTAGAAAAAAAAAAATCTATGAGTGGAAAATTCTATGTTGAAGAAATAATTTGTGTGGTATTGAGCAAAGCTTTCCTAAACTTTCATGTTTTCTATTTGAAAAGACATAAACTAAATCTCAAATAAATTGTAGATACAATTAAAAAATAAGAAAACAACCTTTTTGATTCAAAGCCTCACCATAAAAAAAGCAAATTTTCACTGAGTTGAACAAAAATACCATTTCCTTTATTCCTACTTATATACTGGGTTACTCTTAGAAAGTACGTAGACTCGTTCATGTACTGTCTGGTTGAGAAATGACTAAAATTCTATTCTGGACAGGGTCACTTGGAAGGCCTCTGGGTGGTGGCCACATAATTATGATACTATTGGGGCCTGTATGTAGGAATACTGAAAGCTCAATTTGAATTCTTTTCAGCAGCTGAGTCACTGCAGTGCCCCTGTAAATTACTTTTATTTTAGCACCTCAATTTTTCTATTACAATTCAAAGGGGAATTTTGATCAGAACAAACAGACATTATTTAATAATGTGAAAAATTTGAATTCAGAAAAAGAGGGGAAAAAACCCCAAACTAATAAATTCTTGCAGTAATTTTGCCAGTTGAAAGACAAGGGCCAAATGTGGGTGAATTACAACTGAGACCATCGGACAGCATCAGGATTTTATTTTATTTACCCCAAAGAAATATGTCTCCAAGATGGTATATTTCTGGTCCTAGATATCAGCATTATTTGATGTTTTGCTTCTGTGCTTTCATTTAGTCACTTCTTTTAAATTAATTAATAAATTTTATCTTGTTGAGAGTATCATAGATGTCCCCCTTCCCCCCACATTGCTCCCCTCTGCTTGGTTCTGGCCCTGCCCCAGGCCTTCACCACCCTATTGTCTGTGTCCATGGGCAACGCATATATGCATATAAGGTCTTTGGCTTCTTTATCAAACAGCTATGTGTTAAATACATCTACGTGGTAAAGTTCTACCGACTGGCGACACAGGTAAAGCATGTGATGGAGTTACAGCCCTTAC